CACACACACACACACACACACACACACACACACACACACACACACACACAGTCCAACATACTCACAAACCCTCCAGTCATGTGGAATGCACATGACCCCCTGAGGGAGTTCCAGAAACACAATCCTGAAGTCAGCAACTATACATCTCTGGTGGGGCCCGAGCCATCCTTACAGGAGACCAAAAACAATGGATGGTGTATGTGTGTGTGTGTGTGTGTGTGTGTGTGTGTGTGTGTGTGTAGACAGAAAAGTGCAGTAAGACTGTTTTCTTTGCCTCTTTAGCACAGACTGTCGCCTGCTGTGGCTTTGTAAAAATGATGACAGTCTTTTTATTAAAAAAAACATGCAGATAATATTTTCATTTAACGCCCGCCGATGCAAGCAAAAGGGTGATAATGTTTTTGCCCATGTCTGAGTCTATCTCATGAACTATGGACTAAGTTTAATGAAACCTGACAGTAATCAATGGATTAACATTTGCAACTAACTAACTTTTACAGTCATCCCAGTTTAACATGGTTGCCACAACCAACTGACTTTTAAAAATCACAAAAATGACTTTGATGCAGTGAAATTGAGAAAAGAAGTAGCTGAGACGGAGCCTCAAGTCATTTTTGGAAGGCTAATAAATTTAGGTAAAGTAAAATTTATTTATATGGCACTTTTCAGCAGCAAGGTGATACAAAGTGCTTTACATGATTTAAGAAATGAGACAAAAAAGGCAGTATGTCATAATAATCTTAGTAGGTAAATAATCAGTGTAATCTAAGACATTACAGCCAGTTTAATCTAAGGAGAATTGGCAGTATAATCTAAGACATCCTAACATACTTTCTGTTCTGGGTAATCACTGGATGACTGTCTAACTGATTTAGGTGTAACTAAATAATCTACATAATATAATAAGTAATAAAATAAGAAACTGCATAAAAGCAATGACTGTGTAATATATTAACATTTACCTTATAAGTCCTAGAAGGCAATCCCATTTCAGCACTATCTCAGTTAAACCAAACAAATATACAGAATGCTGAGAGGAAGAGTTGTGCAACACATCAGGGTTAAGTAAATACTTGTTAATGGGTTAAAATGTTGCTACTAAATTTATGGAGTCATCTCTGTTCATCATTCTAAGATTTTTTTCAGATACGAACAAAATTTACGAGTGGTCCAGACCTGTCGTATATTTTACGAGCAGTCAGTCTGCTGTTATCCAGACGGGTTTTCTTCATTAATAACTTTATATTTCGTTAGTTTGAAGATATTTTGAGTTGAAAATAAATCACACTCCATGATTATCTTGACAAAAGGCTATTCTGAATTGAATTAGTTATAATTTTCAATGTAATAATTTAGACTAACAAATAAATTGTCCGTCCGGCC